GCCATGGTGGTGGAGATACAACGCGTCAAAGTTGAGGTGGTTATGAGGCGCGCGCGCATGAGGTGGTAGCGCGCATGAGATGGTGGGGCTAGTTATGCACGGTAATGCAGAATTAGCGGGCAGGGGTTAAGACCTCTATTTACGCTTCTAGAGAATGTGCGCGCTTCTATTAGTAAGTCAACTTATATTAGTGCTAATATTATGCATAGGGATAATTTTTTTAAAGAAAGTTATATATTTTAAAAATAGTAAAAAAGAATAAATATACAGTTGCACTCTAATAAATTTTAATAGTAAAAATTTATTATACTATAATAGTAAAGTTATAAACTATAACAATAATTCATAGAAAGAGAGTAGTTATATGATAAAAGTTAGGTAGGACCAGATCTATTTAAGTATAGCTAACAATGGGACTTGGCCGCACGCGCTCTCAAGAGATACATAGCTGAGCTGCGGCGAATTCCTAACAAGACAGGCTCTGGATTCCAAATCTGCAAAGCACTAGGTGGAGGCATCCTGAATTGGCGAACTGGCGAATCGCAATGCAAAGAACTTAGATTCCAAGATGAGAGCAGTTCAACAAGTACCTGATCGACAATCTTCCGCTGGACGAAGATGCACGGAAGCTGGTGTCGGAGTCACATAGCGTGAAACATGATATCGCTTTTACGCATAGAGATCTTAATCTAAGGAACATCCTAGTTGACGATAATGGGAAGATATCTAGAATCGTTAATTGGGAGTGCGCGGGCTGGTACCCCAAGTACTAGGAATATACCAAGGCACACTTTTCAGCGCGATATTCTATTCAGTGGACTGCGGATGTAATTGATCGGGATTTTCTTAGTTACCGCGACGAGGTGCAAGGTGAAGGTATATTCTCTAGTATGGCGCCTCCTTAGTAGACTTGCGTTCATGCGTAGGTGACTTTACCGAACAAGTTGTACTATAAGTGAGGATAACGTTGCCAATGAAACTAGAAATGGTAATAGTAATGCGTCCTTCACGATATACACTACTCATAAAGATGCGTTACACGGGATAAATTTAACCTCCCCTTCTTTCATGCTAATCTAACTATACCTTTTTTAACTATGTAGTTATGTAGTTAGAGTGAAGTTTAAGCTAAGTTACATTACCTAAGTAACAAATAGACTTATAGACTTAGATCCTGTAAAGAAGCTGTTAAACGAGCGTTAAGTCTATTATAATCTTTGCTTGCGTTATACTTATAGTTAACGTACCTCACGGGTTCGTGTCACACACGGGTTCGTGTCACAGTTTTGCCAAGCCCCCACCAAAACCACCACATTATGGCCCAAAACAGCCCA